ATTAATTTATTATTATATAAGTGTAACTAGCCATTTTATTTTGCTACGTTCATTCGCGCTTCAATATAATTATTAAATTACAAAAGTACAATCTAGATTTCAATGCTGTAATCGGCTTTTGATATTATGTTATACACATTGAATACTTATTAATATCCATTATTGTATTCTCGTTTCATAATCACGTATTTTTGTTATTTTATAATAAATTAAATTTTGTCGATAATTATTCTACGTATCATTTCGTTCTTCTAATGCATTAAACACAATACTTATATCTATATCACCAGAAATATTTTATTCTGTTTTACAAATGTGAATAAAATTTTACTTTACGATCTTTGTAATAATAAACTTGATCATCGGTTCCCCCTGCAATTTTTTTTTTAGTTGATATTATTAATTTTCATAAAATGTGCAGTGCGCAAAGAATACTGTCCTGTCTCTCATAGTCACTAAATTGACTTACGATTAAATTTTCGTAAAGTTTACTGAATCTGACGGACAATGATCCGAAGATGCTCTTTGAAGCAAAAGATCGGGGAAAGTAAGCAACGCGGAAACGAAAAGTTACGTAAGTTCACCGGCGAAAGTTTCGCGATGGCACCGTATTCGCGCCCGAAATTAACATAAGAGAGAAGCCACCTTTACCACCCAGAACTTGTGATTCTTCAGTAGTCGAAACTTTGGAAGGGTCAGAGATTACCGTAGGTTTCCGTAGTTTACTCAACGGTAGCGCAAGCTCGGCGTCGTGTCTCGTTATTCACGCTGTCCGATTTCTTTCGAGCTCACACATACTCGCCGCGGACTCGTGTTTGCCGTTCCATTAGCCGGAAAAATGTATGAATATGCAGGAAAAACGTACGGCTTATCCGTACTGCTCACGGATTCACGTGTTAATGCCGTCACGTTTAATCATACCATCTAGTGATATGACGAAAAAATTATCTACCTTTATTTCTAGGTAATCAGATATAAAATTATTTCATATCTTCTTTTGTAAAGCAGATTTTATAGCATTTTCATGATATCTCTTTCCGTTTCAGCATTAAATGCTGTATATGTTGTATAAGAGAGTAATATCTTGTATTATCTATCAAAATTGTTTTCCTTAATAATTATTGATGTTAAATATCCGTTATGTGATAAAAGAATATTAAATATTATATATTATATAATGCATTAGGTATCGAATATACATCGACATTTAATGCCAAATTGATAATGCGTACATTGCGGTGTACATAATCAGTAATGTTCGGAATTATTGATAGAAGGATTTATTACTCTCGTTGCACATATCCCACATAAATCACCGATCACCTTCATATAACGCGTATTATTGAAATATACATCCCCGATTTAAAGGTACCAATTTGCATGTTGTAATATAAAGGCGTATTTCCTGATCGCGTTGCGGTCAACGGAAAAACAATAAACTACATAGTTAGAATAAATACGAATTGAACGATTTGTCAATTTCATTAAAAGATTAAGAAGAAAAAAAATCAACGATCAATGAAGCGGTAAATAAAATGGAAAAGCGAGCAGATAGTATACGAGATAAAAGTTAGAAAAAATATTCATCGAAATACACTGAATTAATTAATCCGTAACAAAGCTGTTCTGAGCTGTGCTGAGTTCACATTACCTGACACTCGTATGTCCCGTTATCTCTGTCCTGGACGTATTTTATTTGAAGAGTCCAATCGTCCGAGCCTTCGGGATGCAGAACTTGAAATCGCTCGTCGTTCGTGTATGTGAACATGGAGCTTGTTAAGACGTGAAAATCACGTCGCCGGATCCACGATATCTGAAACATAATACGGTTAATGGTCAGTAAATATTGATATATATATTTACAATAAATTTGATCTCATTTGAAAGATAATTTAATTCTCTACAACTTTTGTTTCGATACTTTTTGTTAAAAAACGCATACTTTTCCTGATATTTGTAAAAATGTAAAAAATAACTGTGATTTGAGAGGTTTTTGGGCGCTAACTTTTTAAGGAAGCATTTTTCGACCCATGGTTATAGGAAACTTTTTGTTCGGTATTAAATTATCTTTCAAATGAGATCAAAATGATTGTAGTTCGCTCCATAGGTTTTGAAATAAACCAGTTTATAACCAATTTCAAATGTACCGAAAAGTGTGTTTTCGGCTATTGACGGTTATTCGAAAAGCTATGGAACGACTTATTGGGTTGAATGGAAAGTTCGTTCCGTTTCTTACTAAGAGATGAAGACCGAAAAAACGGCACAAACTTTCCGTTCAACCCAATATATAAAAGATGTTTAATAATCAGTTTTATAGTGATAAGTCAAAACTGAGTGAAAACCATGTGAAAAAAAAAAGTTTGATGCAGCAAATTAAAGTGTAAACGGATAATCAATTTAATTTGACAGACGTATTTCACCATAACAGAAAATACGGTAGACATATATCGAATTTTAATTGAAACAAATATTAAGTTAACGTGGAGCTGCCAGAGCTACATTTGCGCTTACATAAATTAGGTTAACATAACTAATTGGATTTCATTTGATGAAAATTATGTGTCAAGCGTTTTTAATGGGCTCTCGACGAATATACAGAATAATTACATCCGTGTAGATATAAAAAAAGTCATAATAAAATACATGATACACAACATTGCTTTCACGTATACATACAATAAATGATAGTAATCAAATATTGCGTAAAACAGAAGAGCAATTCAATATAGCAATGTTAGATTAAAATCATTCTATTAAATATATTGACGCATTGTGTAATTAAAGAGAGAAAAATAAACGTATTATATCACATGAATGTATTTTACTTTGTGAAATAATTGTAAAAAATTTCAAAACAAAATACGGTCTGTCTCTCTCTCTCTCTTTCTCTCGACTATATGCATATACGATAGTTTGAACGTAGAAATTTGTTTTAATTAAATAATAAATTAAATAATAGAATTAAATAATAGAAAAGTGCAATTACGTCATGCGTTACGTAAACATTTCAAATTTCATTAAATTCAATTACAACCGAGTTATACATCTAGTAAGATACATTATTATATGTAACCTCAAATAAAGATAACAATTTATCGCTAATGAGTTCTAATGAGTTTTGTCCTATTCTGTTATGTATGTGCGCCGATATATTTTCATGTATAAATTAAATATAAAAAAAATTATTTATTAACATATATCATTAGCATAAAATACACAGCATCAATTTTTTTAGAATATTTTTCTTTGAAAGTATACAAACGAAAAGAAGTGATAAAAAATAAACACTGGTTGTTTCTTCGATATATAAATATTAAAATAGTAGAAATCAAATATTTTTGCAACGTACAAAATAATGAAAATATAAATATTTCAAAGTAAAATAATTATTCGTATTTCTCGCAATCATCATTTCTATATTTATTTTTATATCGCGACCATGATTATTAATGTTTATCAAACAAGAGAGAATTTACAGAGCGTGAGGAGAACTGGTTTTAGCGGTACTTAGTAACTTCGTTTCTACTCAAATGTTACAACCCATCTTGTGACCCGAAGGGACTGAGCACGATATTGCATAAATACTAAAATTGTGAGAGCCGGAAATACGATCCCGATCTCTGGAGGAATGCGGCCACCCTTCCTCCCCCTCCTCCCATTCTCCTCAGACGAGCTTCTTGCTTCCTCTTCCTCAGTTGATGCTTTAAGATCATTGTAGAAAGAAAATGCATAAAACATAAGATATGAACCAATCACGGTCTTTGTATCGAATTGCCGCGTATGAAATGTATAAATATAGTATGATATTAGATTACATATAATACGATAAATTTTTACATTTTTATTTTGATGATAAATAATTGTACAAAAACAAAATTTTCTCTTGACTTACTTCATGTTAATTTAAATGTGCTTTCCTTAATAAATGCGCCAAAATCGGATTTAATACGCTTTGAACGGTATGTTAAATATTTTATAGCAATAATAATAACTTATTGCTATAATTGCCATTTTATATATGCAAATAGAAAAAATGTGTTGACCCAATTGCTTGTGATATTTAGTATAATATATATTACTCTCGTTCCTGGATATACAGTTTTAATTTTAAATAGCATATAAAAATAGCATAAGCATTTGTAAAGTCGCATTTACGCGAATAATGCCGACGTAAATATGCTAATTCCTGTTACAGCATTATGTTTATATAATTGTATTAATTTGTTAGACTTTTCGCGAGCGCTGGCAAGCTCGACAGATGCTCGGAAAATTCAAGTAGCGAAACTTTACCGCAGCATGATTGCCAGCTCTTGGCTATAGAATCAAGTGCTTCAATGTTTCCAGGCATTCGGAAGAGATCGGTTCGTCCGAAAGCATTAAACCACTCGAAGCACTTCGATCGGCTTCAAACTTTAGATTGATGTGAAATTTCCCGATAGATTAATTATTATGGATTTCCTTCTGCGATTTGTATAATACAAAAGCTAGCTGAACTTATTTCAGTGCGTCTTTAAAAAGATCATCGAGAAATGCAAGGGAACGGCAGCCTAAGATTTAAAACGATTTCTTCGATGCAATCTTTCTTTAGATAGATGAACATTGAAATTTTTATTATTTCAATTGTACAGAAACCACTTCGAAGCGATCTAGAATTCAGACTCTCGAGTTAAATCGTTTACTTTTGTCATATACCTCAATAATCTCTGAGTCTGCAAATATCTGTCGTTGATATATTTAAGCACTTTTCCACTTACTTCAAGTTTCTTTTATGGCAGCAAGATTAAACTTGGAATCGTGACTAAAAGCAACCCTTTTCTCTTTTTGTCCAAAGCCGAAAGTGGTCGTAGTCTCATTCAGTGCTGATTTAGAAAGGAGAGTTTGTTCCGACGACTCTGGAGATCCGATGAGAGTTTCAGACGAAAGGCATAGCTGGCGTCGGAAGTTTACAACGTCGAAATTTCGGCAGAACAACCGACGAAGTCGATTCTATTGCCGTGTAGAGTGCAGCGGTCTGTATGATGTATGTAGGTCAGCGTCTCCCAACCTTTCACGTGCGGTGGACCGTTGGTGCATCAATTGAAAGAAGCATGTCGCGATACATCGTAGTGTATATACGTGCGATACTTGAAGATATATATTTGAAAAAGTGCCAGACGCGCGGACGGATGAAAATATGTTAGCTTGCGTATAAACGCGCGTGACACATGTATACGAAAATCTTTTAAACATGTATTTTTCTTTGTCCTCTATTGTTAAGTCCTTAGACAGTTGTATGTACATATTTCAATATTGGATATTGAATCCAATACCATGAAATAATTTTATAAGATCGCTTTCATTGGCATTTTTATCGATTAAGGTGTCTACTCAAATCCTATAAAAAATTTCCCTGAAAATTCCCTGATCTTCCATGTATTATTGTTCAAAATTCCAGGTAAAGAGAATATTTCAAACATTTTTTGCTGCAATTTTCTAAAATAAATTTTTGTATTGTTTGCGTTTTCTAATACTTTTCATTCATACAAAGAAAAAACGCAAAGCCATTTAAGTTTCAAGTGTTAGATTTACAAATGTATTGAAAATAAAACTGAATAGCTTTCGTTAAGATAAAATTTTTTAACTTACATAACATTTTTATTTTTTATCGCTAAAAATTAAAATAAAGAATATGTATTGCATATTTAATATTTTGTTAAAATATTAAATATATAAACAGACATAGATATATATCTATAATATATTTTAAACATATAATTTACATGGCTTTTTGGCGGATTGTCTACTGCTTACAGTATAAGAGCAAAATTATCAGAGAGAATTTTAAAAAAAATTCCCCGAGTCCCAACAAAATTCCATGAGAATTCCCTGATTTTTTCCAGATATAAAAAAATTCCCTAAAAATTCCAGGTTTTCCATGTATTTTGCATATTGTGTAGTTATTTTCTTCTTTTGTTGTAATAATTGTGCAATATTTAATAAAAATAAAAAATTGGTACTCGATTTCTCTTCTCTTTATTTTGCTGCTTTACATAGTGAATCTAATCGTTGAAAGGAGTCAGAATTTTGGAAGCAGATTTGTGTGATGGATACAATGAGTAACGTTAGGTTCATGTAACCTCTACGGGTGACTGACCACAACCAGTGCTTCGTTATCTCGCTAAAGGGTTAGGTCAGGTATATCCTGTCTGGCTTTTCAGTTTCTGTTTCACGCTACTCGAACAGTATGGAACGTTATGGCTGCGGTATTTGCCGTGCAAAGTTTCGCGTGTAACCACAAATGTTATTTTCGAATAGCGCACTAGTTTGTCATAATACTACACATTTCGATTTTGGTCGAAATATTTGCAAAGCAAATTAATTTGTAGTCAGATAGGCAATAATAAAGTTATTTCATAGATAGATAGGCATCAAATTCAACATCAGCTATGTTAGCGTTTGTTTGTATTGACAATGTCGATGAAACATGATTAAATGTATCATTACTATGTTACTAATAAATCTAACTTGAAATGTGTTCAAATTATTTCTCTTTCAATCTGAAATAATAGAGACAACTCTAAATAGAAGCGAGTAATCATAAAAAATGTTACAGAATCAATATTGCAGCTTTATAACTTTTTTTAAATCAAATATTCAATTTTTTCACTTAAAAGATAAAGTGTATTGCACATACAATATATTACACTATCTCTCTTCATATCTTCGCCAATATCTTAACACACTATAAAATTTCTCATCCCAATAATAAAAAGATAAATCGTCTCTTCTCTGTTTACCTTAGAGAAAAGAAGCATAATCCTCTTATACTATACA